GCTGGAGGTGCCTTCAAATTCTTCAGTTCAGTTTTGAGATTGCGTACCTTAACCATCCCACCCTCGATGGATCACTGTCAGACTATAGCATCCCTCATGCTCTAGACACCGACGCAGATGCCATGACTTAAGCGCCTCTGACTTTGGGTGAATGACATGTGGGCCCACGTGCTACATACGTGCTCAGAGTCAGTACTACGTTAGTCACCGAAATCCCAGTCATACTAGCCAGTTGAGTTCACACGGCCAGCTATTGCTGAAGATTAGTAGGTGAAGGCGAAGCCAAAGGGTATCTTATCTATCTGCAAGAGATGGGATTGCTCATAATCTTAACCACGTTGGCTTTGACCGGAAGATTCGTGTGGTCACCATCATCAACGGAAGAGTAGGAGTACTCTAGTTTTCAGATATCTGCGACTGCGAGAGTAGTACTGGTACGTGTGCACAGTTTTTTCTCGAAAGGTCCATGTCAGGGACTTACTTAATCCAATCAAACGAACTAGCTTTGAGATACGTGTTTGTTAATCAGATGTCACGTGAAGACGCGGTACGCAATCCCGGGGGGTCACGTTTTTGGGACCGGAGCTTGGGAGTCCGAGCCACGGAGACGCATGCAGTGGCCAGCCATGTAGTACTAGTATGTGTGGGTCGTTGTCGCGGTGGGAAACCAGGCACCCAACGAGCGAGCCGGCGGGGCACGTCTCGCCAGGCGCCGGTCTCGCGGTGCGCGTCGTCGTCTCGTCTCCTCTCTGGCTATAAATATCGGCCGGGTCGGAGCAGCAGCCTCCAAAGCCAAATCCCAAAGCCAAAGCCAAAGGTGGCTCGCCCACAGTCTCACACATACGGAGTGACAGATACAGACCGGGCGTGCGAGGGAGGGAGGAAGGGAGCTCGGAGGAAGCAGAGGGATCCGATCCGCTCCGGCGGTGCCAAGGTACGTAATGGGTACAGATTCCGCCTCCGCCCAGTAGCAGTAGGTCGTAGAGTACTTGTCACACAGGCCCGCTGTCGTTGGTGTGACAAATGTGCGTGCATATCAATCACGCGCCGCCGTTGGTGTTCATCTGAGTTCATCCCCTCCTCCGTGCACCGCCACGTACGACGTCGGCCAGATGCAGAAGCCAGTTGTCGACGGAGCTCAACGTCTTCGGACGGGAGCGGCAAGAGTATACTGATATTTCTTGCCTCTTGTCGTGGACGGGCGCAGAGGCAGCGAACTGGCACTAACTTCTCGCCGCCGCGCCGTGGGAACGAAAGAGCGCCCAGCACACACCGCTCACTTCTTGGCTGGCCTCTCGTTCTCGCCCCGGAGCATGCACGTCGGCGTCACGCTGTCACTGTTGCGTGCGCCTTATTTCTGTCTCACTCCTTCCTTGTTCAAGTATACTAGCAGCATCAGTAGTGGAATTAATTATGTGGTCTTCCACTGAGCTGAGCTAATCAAACATCTAACCATGACACCAGCTAATCATACCGTGTGTGTGTGTGTGTGTGAAAGAGCTAGCGTGATCACACCCACGCACGCAGCCTTCGGTGGCATTATATACCCGGCTTTACAAAAAAAAAAATCACGCTGCGCACCTCTCCAGACCGTAGCAATAGCAATAAAAGTATTCTTTTTTTAACATTAGCAATAGAAGTATTCGATATGCGTATAATAGTAGTGTAGTCTGAATTTGGTAGTCTGCGCAGCACACATGCATGAGGTCTGTCAGTCGGAGTATCTAGACAAATTTAAGACAAAAAATTTAAGAGGAAGGAATATGATTTTTTTTATGATTTTCCTGTTCATATGATTTTGGCCCATGCTTATCATTGGTACGAGCTCATTTGACAGTAGCATCATCTCTATCATCCACGAGAGTGGGCAGCCGCTTAAACAAAGTCAACAACAATGGTTTTAACAAGATGCTCTGATGATGATTCCCCATAGCCCCACACCACGCACCCCACCCCAAGAGGGCAAGAGGGAAGATCGATCGGAATCGGATCAGTGTGGCCACCTCTCTCCGCCACCGGATTCAGCTCCTGCACAGCACATGTTGGCCGTCCCCATCCGTGGATGCAGCCGGACACATGAGCCGCCATTGTTTCATGACGGAGAAGAAGATCCTTCCCCTTCCTCTTCCCCGTCCCCTCCCCACGCGCAGCCAAAGCACCCGTCGTCTTTCTTTCTTTCTACTCCCTCCGTTCCATATTAGTTGTCGCTCAAACGGATGTATCTAGGTGCTAGATACATCCGTTTGAGCGACAACTAATATGGAACGGAGGGAAAAGTAGGTAGGTGGGTAGATAGGTGGCAGTCCTTCCTTTGCCGTCCTCTCCTCTCCTCCTAGCTAGAGCTCGGGCGAGATATCTCACTTCTCCTTTGCCTGCTCATGCTCATCTCGCCCGACTCGCGTCGTTTTCCGATGGATGCCACAGCGGCCTGAGCAGGTATGGTATGTGTGTAGTTCCAACGAGAATCCCTCCCTCTTTCTTCCCGATTCTTCCTTCCACGCCCGTCCATGAATCCCGTGATTTGATTTGATTCTTCCATGCCCTGGATTGGATGGATGAACGAATCTGTGCTGAATCTGGTGCCTGCCTGCTTCACTCTGAGAGGCTCATGAGACTCACTGACCACACAGTCTCTAGCTCTGCAAATCCCCCGTTAGAAGTTTCAAATCAGCATATCAGTTATGTACTGGCCGCAGCCCGATTTGGGTCTAAAGCGGAGGCTGTCGCGCCTTACTAGTTTCTTTCTGCTCCCATGATAGTCTGTCTGTCTGTTCTTGATTTACAATTAACGCCATTCCCATTTCTTCCAGGTTTTATTACAACCTTCACCTTAGTCATCTTCAACAACAATCTGTCCACAATTGCATCTGCACCGCACTGTTAATCACTGTCGATAACAAAAACCTTGCAGGAAGCTGTTCCTCTGAGCCGCTGCAGCGCGTAGCCTGACTGAGCAGCGAGAGACAAGCAGCAAGGTCAGCAACCATGGGGGAGGTCGCGGCGGAGCTGTACACCCAGGATGGCACCATCGACATCAAGGGCAACCCGGCCCTCAAGAAGGACACCGGCAACTGGCGCGCATGCCCCTACATCCTCGGTACGCACTCGCACGACTCCATTGCTGCTCTGTTTTCATGCTCTGCTTCTGTTCATGGCGTTCATGGCGTCATCAAGCTGTTTGATTGATGGGTTGCATGCAGCGAACGAGTGCTGCGAGCGGCTGGCCTATTACGGCATGAGCACCAACCTCGTCAACTTCATGAAGGACCGGATGGGCATGGCCAACGCCGCCGCCGCCAACAACGTCACCAACTGGGGCGGCACCTGCTACATCACGCCGCTCATCGGCGCCTTCCTCGCCGACGCCTACCTCGGCCGCTTCTGGACCATCGCCTCCTTCATGATCATCTACATCTTCGGCCTCGGCCTGCTCACCATGGCCACCTCCGTGCACGGCCTCGTGCCCGCCTGCGCCTCCAAGGGCGTCTGCGACCCCACGCCGGGCCAGTCGGCGGCGGTCTTCATCGCGCTCTACCTCATCGCGCTCGGCACCGGCGGGATCAAGCCATGCGTGTCGTCGTTCGGGGCCGACCAGTTCGACGAGCACGACGACGTGGAGCGCAAGAGCAAGAGCTCGTTTTTCAATTGGTTCTACTTCTCCATCAACATCGGCGCGCTGGTGGCCTCGTCCGTCCTGGTGTACGTGCAGACGCATGTCGGGTGGAGCTGGGGCTTCGGCATCCCCGCCGTCGTCATGGCCATCGCCGTCGGCAGCTTCTTCGTCGGCACGCCGCTCTACAGGCACCAGCGCCCCGGCGGCAGCCCGCTCACCCGCATCGCGCAGGTGCTCGTCGCCGCCACGCGCAAGCTCGGCGTCCCCGTCGACGGGTCGGCGCTGTACGAGACCGCGGACAGGGAGTCCGGCATCGAGGGCAGCCGCAAGCTGGAGCACACGGAGCAGTTCAGGTTCCTCGACAAGGCGGCCGTGGAGACGCAGGCGGACAAGACGGCCACCGGGCCGTCGCCGTGGCGGCTGTGCACGGTGACGCAGGTGGAGGAGCTCAAGAGCGTGGTGCGGCTGCTGCCCATCTGGGCGAGCGGCATCGTCTTCGCCACGGTGTACGGGCAGATGAGCACCATGTTCGTGCTGCAGGGCAACACCCTGGACGCCTCCATGGGGCCCAAGTTCAAGATCCCCTCCGCCTCCCTCTCCATCTTCGACACCCTCAGCGTCATCGCCTGGGTGCCCGTCTACGACCGCATCCTCGTCCCCGCCGTGCGCTCCGTCACCGGCCGGCCCCGCGGCTTCACCCAGCTCCAGCGCATGGGCATCGGCCTCGTCGTCTCCATGTTCGCCATGCTCGCCGCCGGCGTGCTCGAGCTCGTCCGCCTCCGCACCATCGCGCAGCGCGGCCTCTACGGGGAGCACGACGTCGTGCCCATCTCCATCTTCTGGCAGGTGCCGCAGTACTTCATCATCGGCGCCGCCGAGGTGTTCACCTTCGTGGGCCAGCTCGAGTTCTTCTACGACCAGGCGCCCGACGCCATGAGGAGCATGTGCTCCGCGCTCTCCCTCACCACCGTCGCCCTCGGGAACTACCTCAGCACGCTCCTCGTCACCGTCGTGGCCAAGCTCACCACCAGGGGAGGCAAGCAAGGGTGGATCCCCGACAACCTCAACGTCGGCCACCTCGACTACTTCTTCTGGCTGCTCGCCGCCCTCAGCCTCCTCAACTTCGCCGTCTACCTCCTCATCGCCAGCTGGTACACCTACAAGAAGACCGCCGGAGATGATCACCCAGACGCCATAGCCAAAGGGGGAGCTCATGATTGATGCACATGACCAGTAAATAAGTGAGTGACTATGTCTGCGGTTGGTGTATGAATGTTGAAAGCAGAAGAAGAAAGCAAGGATTGAGAGTTCGGATAGGTGAAATTAAGGGAGGACAATGAAATGCATGGTGTGATTTGTGACTTCAAGATTCAGGAGTGTTGCCTTGTTGATTAATATACTAGTGTCTTGGAAAAATCTGGCAGAAAAATGTTAAGATGTTATGTACTCCCTCCGATCTCATAATGTAAATAGTGTCAAAAAAACGTCTTGCATTACGAGATGAGTAGTACTTAGGCCAACTCCACCGCGCGATCCCAAACGGATGTCCGTTTTGTCCAGATTCTATCCGTTTGGGCAGGGGATGGGGTCATGTCTGGCCTGTCTTGGGATGCGGTGGCCGTGCGCCCAGCACGCTACCGCATCCTTTATCCCATCCTGTCCGCGTCTATTTTAAAAAAGCAACGTTTCAAATGCCAAGCCCTAGTTCACGGCCCCAGTTCATCACGCCGGCAACAAAGCCAGCGGCCTACACGTCCATCGCCGGCATCAGCCAGCGGCCGGCAACACAGCCAGCCTCCAAAATGAATGGTTGTCCTCGCCGGCAACACAGCCGGCCTTCAAAATGAATGTTTTTCTCGCCGGCACACAGCCAGCGGCCCAGCGGACGGGCGACACCCATGCCAGCCTCCAAAAAAACATCCACGACCGATCAGACGACCTAGTTCAGCCGTCGGCGTCGGGCATCTCCTTCTGCCTGGTCTCGAACCAGGCCCTCGTCTTCTCGCTCATCTTCGACAAGTCCACGCTCATGATCGCAAGGGCCACCTCCTTTGCTTTGGTGGCGGCATTGGTGGCCTTGATGTCGAGCTGCCTTTGCCTGGCCTTGACGTTGTCGGCCTCGATGTCGAGCTGCCTTTGCCGGGCCACCTCCTCCATGTCGAGCCGGCGTCGCGCGCTGCTCACGCCGAAGCAGCGTCGGCTGCGAGAGTACGCCGCCGACTCTCCCAAGTGGGAGGCTTGGTTCGCCCTCGAACACGAGGAGCAACGGCGCTCGGGTGTCGACGCCGTCCCGCCGCCGTTCCCACCGCCGCCCTCGAGGAGGCCCTGCAGCACGCGCCGGAGGCTAGCCGCATCGACGAGGACGCGCACTGAGATGGGCTGGAGCAAGCCCTTGCCTTGTCGGCGGCGGGGGACTCCGTCCACTCCCCGCTCTTCGTGCCGCCGCCTCCGCCCGTCCAGCCCAAGCCGGAGCCGAAGCCGGAGCCGTCGCGTAAGCGCTCCCCGCCTCCACCCACTTGGCCGGAGGAGGCCTACTCGTGGACGGGCCAGTACCGCGAGTGGGTCAGCGCGCCTCCCGTCCACTTCGCCGCCACGCCGGAGGAGGAGGCGGCCCACCTCGAGCGATGGAAGGAGCACTGGCTCCGCCAGGAGCAGGCCGACGGCGAGGAGCAGATGCGCTACGACGCCATGCTCGAACGCGACGCGGAGGCGCTCCGGCTAGAGGAGGAGGAGGGGGAGCGCGTGCGGCTTGCCGCAATGCCGCCGCCCCAGCAGACGCGGGAGGAGGCTGCCCTGGCAGCGTACCAGGCGGCGTTCGGGTGGGCTGGCCCTGCTCCGGTCTTCGTCGACCTCACCGACGATGGCGGCGTCGAGGGCAAGGGCAAGGCCGACGACGTCTAGGGCAGCGTGCGGGTGACAGCAGGCGGGCACAGACTTTTTTTAATGTTTTATTTAATGTTTATTAGATTTAGGTGGACTTTGGCCGGCGTTTGAATGGCCACTTTATGTTTAATTATGTTTATTTATGTTTATTTCGTGTAAACTTGTTTTTTTTTCACGCCGACACATTTGGGTCGGCCTCCCCGTTGGGCGTGAGCTCGCGCCCTAGTATGGGGGACCTTTAGTACCGGTTGGTGTTACCAACCGGTACTAAAAGTTTTTTTTTTGAAAATTTTGGAATTTTTTTTTGATTTTTAATTTCCTGAATTATTTGATGATTTAGTCTCTAATCACCTCTCTTAACTGGTCAAGTGTGGATCACTCATTCCAAATCATCTAACTTCCCGACCGGTCACCCATCCCTCTCACTACTCCAGCCCGAGCACGCTTAACTTTCGGATTCTATTCTCCTTCGTTTCTGAGTCTGCACTTGTTGTTTTCCTGACAATAGTAAGATGTCAATCCTATTAATCCTCAGGAGTTTAGCTAAAGCATGAAGTCACACATTTCACCGTTTGAGTTTGAAACTATTATTCTAAAAAAACAGTAATTATTTAGTAACGCTAATATTTCTTGAATAAGTTTGACCATAGTTTGACCATAGTTTGACCAAAATTCAAAAAATTGAAATAATTATTTAGTAACACTAATATTCTTGAATAATTATGTAGTAACATCAATACTTCTTGAATAAGTAGTTTGACCAAATTTAACCAAATTTTTTTAAAAAAACTGAAATTTAACCATATCTTTTTTTCCTTTTCGAATTTGAGGATTCTAAAAAATTCCAAACAGGCCGTAGGCGGTCTCCATCGGATGCGAATTTTCATGCTGAATTTTTTGATATATTATATGTTTTTTTCCGACATCGTATGCAAAAGTTATAGTCGTTTTACATTTTCCCTACACTTTTTGCAAAACATGTCCAAATTTAAGTTTTCAAATTTTCCTAACTAGTAGATATAGTAATATAACTACCTCTCGAAGGATTTTATTTTTTAAAGTTTTTATCATTTTCTTTTGATTTTTTCAAAACTGAAATG